GATTAATATATAAATAAAAACTGAATATTTAGCACTAGATAAAATAAAGCATGATTTTTTAAATGTTTTATTGTTTAAAGTTGATAAGTTGGTCAATTTCAAGTTTAACTTGAAATTTGAAATCTGGTTTGTTTTTAAAGTACCAATTTAAATACCGTTTAGGAACCGGTACCGTTTTGAAAGTATCGATTTAGCACCGGTATCGAAATAAACCCTTTCAATACCCAACCCTAGTTTCAAATTTACAAAGCTATTTATGGTCATGTGTCATTGTTTACACCTTGTCAACTTTATGAATTATCACAGGTGACTTGTTCTGATATAATATGCTTATCTGACATTGTTTTCTTCTCAGTGAAAATTTAGCACCCCTTAAACTATTCACATACCTGTTTATCTTATTTAATTGTGTTKTCATGGCTGATGAAAAGTTAGCATATTTCTTCTCAAACTTTAAAGCAACATTTTTGTGTTTATGCAAAGTTGGTACATGAGGCTAGCSTGGTTAAAACCAGACCCTGTCCTTCACTTTGCTTCGTACAAGGGTCTGGACTTGATGCTGAATGAGAAGTGATMCTTGCAGGAGGCGTGGCCTCTGCTAAAGTTTAAAATAATTGGATCAGTTGGCTGCAAGGTACAGTATGTCGCTGTGARGGAGGCTAAGCTAAGAAGCTAGCCAGAAATTGCYTGTGCTGTAAACAACCCTACTGAGAGGAGAYAAGTACCGAGCRGAACAAGARGACTGTAAATGAGAGCTGCTGCTTTGTCAGACAAATTTTTATTTAATTTGGAAGCCTTATCAACARYGACTGGCTTCATTCACTTCCTCCACTGCRGWATGCTAAAATAACRAGCAGACACTGCYCAGAACATTGACGTCGTTCAAAACTCCGCCTTCTGTTTGCTGATTGGCCCAGGTAAAATAAACTACAAGCAGYCACCGCGGAGAAAATTGACGTTSTCTTCTCTGATTGGCCRGGCTAAAAATCTGCCAGCGAAATCCATCTCTATGGGAGAAGTCCCAGARGGAGCAGTGAAGGGAAACTAGAGTTGAGCGYAGCTGCGTAGGAAYGCAAGGGCCWGGCTAACATGTGGCCAAAGAAAACTTGAATATGGAAAATTATTCATCCCTCCAAAGTTATTTTTTGTGTTGCCACGTTTTGCAATTGTCCTATCGGGAAGTTTATTTTTTCCCATATTTGACCACAGAAATCTTTGTCCTGTCTTTATGCCTAAACTTCTCCAACTGTTTGAGGTTAGAGGMGAGCTGTTTGTGTCCAGTTCTAAAAGTGATACCAGAGATACTCATTTYGAAATTGGACTCACAGACGCCTTAACTTTTAATTTTGGGGAACCTTACATTTTTTAAACCTCTGGCAGTTATTCTGACTGAAACATAAGTAGTTTTCTTTAGTTTTAAATGAAAATTCTGACAAATCTTAGAGTGACTTGTACTTTTGTGCTAATTTCAGTGCCATAATCTTCTACTCTCTGTCCATATCTTTACAGGGAGAGCTCCACTGCTAACTCTAAAAGGTAAGACTTCTCTGTTTCTCTCTCCTTTTTATACATATCAAAGCCAACAGCCTGACACTTGGATGTTTTTTTTTCTATGCTCAGGCCAGAGTTCACAATGTTTGTGGATCCACCTGTGGGGCAGCCTGAGTACCTCATTTCAGAGATAAAGTTAGTTGGAGTGGTAAGGCATGCATTTACAGTCATGGTAAAAATAAAGTATGCCTTCCTCTATAGTTTGAATGTTTAAGACATATTTGTTTCTAACATTGGGGGTTTGTATTACTGTTGTAGTTCACAGCTTTTTTAATGTCTATGGCTTAAAATACAATAATACTAAAATGCATCAGCCATTATTGCAAAAAAGATACTACAATAAAGAAGTCATGAAGGTCATGACATCGGCACGTGTTCGCACATTTATTTTGCATTGGGGGATATCTTTTTTTTTTTTTTCAGTTTTTTAAATGTTCTCCATTTGAACATGGCTTCTATAGTCAGATCAGCTCTCCTGCTCTGGGTCCAAGTGAAGAATGCTTTGAGTCCTCCAAATAATCAGCCAAAAATCAGTCACCATTGGACGGAAAAACATTGCATTCACCAAATAAATAAAAGACTCCTGATCTCATAATTACAAGATAAGATGTCATAATTACAAGATAAGATGTCATAATTATGAGATAAGATGTCATAATTATGAGATAAGATGTCATAATTATGAGATAAGATGTCATAATTACAAGATCCTGATCTCCTGTGTTTTTTGCGTAGGTAACGGTCCTGAACGTGTATGTGTGTAATGCCTAAAGCTTAAGTGCCAAGAACAAGCTGTATAACTTTTATTCACCAGAGTTTAATAAAGTTATGACCTACTGAATTGAAACAGGAGAAAGTGTGTGCTCTTTGTGTACATACAGGACAGAAATTAAGCATTTCAGATGTATTAGCTATTTATTGCCATACCATCCAATACTGCAGGAAGAGAGTGACTTCCAGCATGTCAGAGTGGGCTTTTTGCTTGAACAACCGCAAGGAAGATACCTGCTAAATGTTAACATACTAATATTAATGCCATTTGTAATAGTTTGTTCGTACTGTTTTGAATCGGACTCTTATTTTGAAATATCCACTTGCTGAAACTAGAACTACCACTAACAGTTAAAGTGTTATGTTTTTGCTGAATTAAACAGAACTCATTTAGACTGCTGTACAGGTCCACACCATCCACATTATTAAGTAAACTCAAAATTTCCCAATATTTCATACCTAAGAGGAAATAAAAGCATATCAAATGAGATAATGCAGTTACTGTTTACTTTTAGGACTCTCTTTAACTTGTCTTGTAATTATGACATCTTTTCTCGTAATTATGAGATCGGGAGTCTAATATATATATATATATATATATATAGTGAATGCAATGCTCTTTTATACCATTAGATGGCTGAAAACCCAAACAAAAAATACATGAAAACATGATTAGAAAAAATTGGCTTTGACCATAAAGACGACTAGATTGCGCACTGCCTATCCGACCCATTGCTTGCATTTGTAACATTGTGGAGAAGCTAAGATTGCATCAAAAAACATGCAACTACTCAAAGTTGACAAAATAAATGTTTAATTAAAAGCAACCTGACAGGATATGTCACAGATCAGTTTTAATCTATTTACAATAACCTAATTTAATTCGTAATTAATGTTAATTTCATACAGCAGTTATGTAAAACAGCTAGATGTTATACAAGGAAAATATAGTATATTAGAGTATATTAGGTCTAAATGACGATGATCTAAACTTTACCTGAAGTTATTCAGTACTTACAGTATTTACTGACTTCAAATGATTTTAAGACTTTTTAGCTAGTTGGATAATTGAGACTTCAACTAGTTGATGAGTTTGCAACAAACATTTTAAACATGTATGGTGTGTGTAGGCTCTACTAGGTTTAAGCTAAAGTGATCAGTGTTTATTCTATACCTAAGCTTTAAAACTGTGTTTTTAGAATTTATGTCAAAAGATTTTACACTTGGTAATAACTGAAGATAATACCAGCTTGTACTGTTTAATAATTTGTACTAAACTGTAACATGATTAAACCTGTAAAGCATATTTACTTTATAGACTCTGTATAAAAATATATGCCAGAAAGCTAATATTAAGTAGCTAATTAAATTATTAACAGCGATTACATAAATTTATAGTCTACTTTTACACTATTACATCATTAGCTTCAATTCTGGTTGGATCAGATAGCATTGAGATAAAAAAGATAAAATAAGCTTACTTGTGAAAGGAGAACTGGTTTTCCTCTTGTTACATCAGTAACACACACAGCTTTCTGGCATTTTTACTATTTATATACGTACCATTAGCCAGGTTAAAACCAGACCCTTGTCCTTTGCTTTGCTTCGTACAAGGGTCTGGACTTACGGATATAAAGAAGTGATTCTTGCTGGAGGCGTGGCCTCTGTTGAAGTTTAAAATGATTGGATCGGTTGGCCCGACGTATGTGTGTGCCAGCTCCACTGTGAAGGAGGCTAAGCTAAGAAGCTAACCAGAAATTGCGTGTGCTGTAAACAACCCTACTGAGAGGAGAGCAGTACCGAGCCAAACGAGACGACTGTAAATGAGAGCATGCTGCTTTTTCAGACTAGTTTAATTTAATTTGGAAGTCTTATCAACACAGACTGGCTTCATTCACTTCCTCCACTGTCATTACTAAAATAACTAGCAGACACTGCGCAGAAAATCGTCATCGTTCAAAACTCCYTCTTCTGTTCTTTGATTGGCCCGGATGAAAATTCTCATGAAGAAATTCTTGTCTATGGGAGAAATCCCAGACGGAGCAGTGAAAGGAAACTAGAACTAAGCAGAACCGTGTAGGAAGGCAAGGGCCAGGCTAACATTCCATAGCTTACTTCCATAGCTAGTATGTTATTATTATATTAAGTACATTTCATTACTTTTTACACAGTCAGCCTTCATTCAGGGCTAATTAGCCAGTATCTACCAAAACAATTTTTTAATTGCCTTTCTACAGTCATTGTGGTATAATGATTTAAATGCTCAGAAAAGTTTCTTCTCATCCCTTTTTAATCTGCCTGCCYTTGCATATACAATGTTCCCACATGATCTGATTGTTTTTAAGGGTTAAAGGGATCCCTGATTAGTTGTAACATTAGACTTTATTTGATAAACATTTATTTTAACTGTAAAACTAAAGACTGTAAAAATACTGTTGGATGTTTAGTTTAGTAAATTTTTTAATATATATATTTTAACACGGACAAAGCCATTTTATTTACACACAAAGCATTCTGGGTAAATGATGACGTGGATAGGTCCTCGGTGTGAGCGAGCTATATCCACCCTGAAGGTTAATCTTGGACAATATCTGACAATTAGCTCTTTTAAATGAACAGAGAGCATTGACAGAGAGGAGAAGGTAGAAATGACTCAGCCTGTAACTGAAAATATAGATGGGGGACAACAGAGCTGCTTCATGGAAGAAGAACTTCAGCTTAGCCTGTTAGCCTTTGCTGTAGTGCCGATGCAATATTACCTTATATGTATTAGCTCAGCGCTAGCGCGACAAACAAGCTAAACTGAGGTCCTCCATCCATATTTTCAGGCTGAGTCATTTTTGTGTTCCCCTCTCTGTCATGTGGATGGAGGACCTCAGTGACAAGAGGAGAATGTGTAGCGCTGAGCTAATACATATATATGATGATAGTATCGGTACTAATGCCAAAGCTAACAGGCTAAGCTGAGGTTCTTCTTCCATGAAGCAGCTCTGTTGTCCTCCATCCATATTTTCAGTTACAGGCTGAGTTATTTCTGCATTCTCCTCTCTGTCAACACTCTCTGGTTGCATTTAAAAGAGCCAATCGTCAGACATTGTGCAAGATTAACCTTCAGGGTGGATATAGCTCGCTAGCAGCCTCGCACCGATGACCTAGTTGATGTCATCATTTACCCAGAAAGCTTTGTGTGTAAATAAAATGGCCCCGTCCGTGTAATATATTTTTAAACTTTTAGCTTAAAAATGATAAAAACTAAACAGCAGCAGTATTTTTATTCATTTTACAATTAAATTATATGTTTATTAAATAAAGTCTTATGCTACAACTAATCAGGGATCCCTTTAAAAAGCAGACAAAACATGTTCAGTTTTTTTATTGTGTGTAATTATGAGTCATTATCATATTCCAAAAGTGTTCCAAACTTTCTTGCAAATATGTATATATGTGAAAAGTTAAAAGTTTCTAAAAGCCTTTCTTTGTCATATATTTATGTCAGTTGTATGAACTTGTCTTCTCTGCAGACATCATCTCACTCCTTGGTTCTAGATGTTGGAGAGGATCGGCTGGTATTGACTGCTCTTCAGGCACGCTACCATCTTGACATTTTCCACCCGTTCCTCATCGACCAGGAGAACACTGTAGCGCAGTACAACAAAAGAACACAGGTATGAAGCTAGCCCTGAACACAAAAATACACAATGAGATGATTGCTACATGGTTTCTGCACAACATAATTTCATTCATAGATGTCTGATTGTGTTGTGCAAAGGGAGCAAAAATATAAAAAAAAAATGTATTTGCAAATTGTGATGACATGGCAGAAATATTACATCATTCCATTCCATCCAATTTAATTCAGTTCGCTTCTATTCAATTCAAATTCAAAAATACTTTATTGATACCAAAGGAAATTTAAATGTTTCAGAGCAACCCATCCAAGGGGGACAGGTGTCTGGGGCTGCAGCCATAGAAAGGRGCTGCCTTACTGCCATTATATAGGGCTTTATCAAGTCTTGTCAGACTCCAAAGTGCTTTACACTTACATTTACCCATCCACACATACTGATGGTGGTAAGCTACATTGTAGCCACCAGCTGTTCTGGGGCAGATTGATAGAAGCATTCTAAAATAAGTGCACTTTATTTAACCTTACTTATTGGGTAATCATTAATAAATGGTTATGTAACCTTTAAAACATCATTAATTAAAGATGACTCATACTTAAATGGATGTATATTAACACATTTGTTAATACTTTACTCATACAGGCTAATTACTTCCATAGTCAACATACTCATTGTTAATTCATGCTTAATAACTAAAGAATTAACTGTTCTACATACTGTGTGTATGTGAATGATCGTATAAAAGTACTTTAACACCATGTGTTACTGGTTAGAGAATGTTTGGATTGACTATTTAATAATCTTGCAGTGCACCAATAATAATTCAGGCAGTAGTAGTTAATTATTTTTGTAAACACTTCTAAAGTGAATACTATGTTATACTTTTGTTTACATATTTGTTAATGTAGACAAATACCTGAAGGGCTACAAGTTTCTTTTACCTGTGGAAATCAGATGGAAATTATAGTTGATTCAAACATTCTCTAACCCATTCGTTAGGAATAGTCTGCTACACCATCAGTGTTTAAAAATTATCATTTTGGTAAACATTTTTTAAAACATTGTTTTTTCTTATCTAAACCTAGTTTGTGTAAACAGGAGATGCAAATGCAGCAGGAAGTTTTTGTCTTTGAAAACATACACAGTATTGCCAGTSAGGCCTAATTTGGGGTAATTAAAAAATGTGGGATTGTGCACTTTAGACTTTATACCTTAGCTACTTCTAAACTCATCACTTATCATATAATGAGCTGGTTTTATCATCTGTTTTTCTTGTCAATAATTCAACACCATTTGTGTGTCCTTGTAGTCCCTGAGAGATTAATTGCATTTATGTGAATAATGGTAAATCTTTTTGCATTGTGCCTCTTCAAAACAAGTGTCTGTTGTCTTCTTCAATCTGTTTATTGTTAAACTTCTGGTCTTATTTGCTAGTTTATTGTGTTTGATTTCATCTTTCCATTAGGGCTTTATCATTTTGCATGTGTCAGTATTGGTCCATACAATCCTACATGGTCACAAAGTTCTGGACTGCCTGCTGCTGATCCCAAAGGGATTGGTGATTGTGGTTTTAGAGTGAGCCCTGAAACTTTGAAGTACTTTCAGAGCTAATTGCTGAACTGTTGTCTTTTTTTCCAGTCATACATAATACTCAAGTGTATACATCTAAAACTAGATATTTGATGACAAAAATTAGATCAACCTTAGGAAACTATTTTTTTAATTTTATCTCACCTTTTTTTCATGCCACTAATGTGATGTTTGGTGTTTTGTTTCCTCAGATTCTTACTGTCACTATGCCTGTGGTGTCATCTTCCTAAAGCTACTAATGTTATGTACCAAATATTTATTTTATTTTACAAATGTGATAATAAAATCCCTTTGTAAATAATATTTCTTTGTCATATTTCATTTATACATTTTTTTCCCCTCAGAACACTAATCTAAATAAAAATAGGGGACACATTCTGAACTCTGTATATGGTTTCCTGATGCATCTCAGTAATCCAGGTAGAAAAAAAATCAAAAAGAAAAAATAAGTAGGTCCTCTGGATGGGTTCTTCTTTAGTGAAACATTTCGTCTCTCCTCCAAGAGACTTCCTCATGCTACGTTCACACCGAACGCGTTTTGAGCGGCCAAAAAGCGCAAAACTTCTCTCGTTGGACGCACTATTTTCAGACCGAAGAACGCACTAGTGTTCAGACCAGAACAAGCAGCGGCAGCAGCGAGGTGCTCACATAACAGTAAAGATTCCCTTCCACAGAAAACACAAATGTATGAGGATGTCACTCTATAAAATGACTGTGGTTGTCTGTCTATTGCTGCTAACCCCTCTGTACTTTGCTGTTGCTGAGAATCCATATCTGCTCAGTGAGAGACAGAGATGGAACAGTTGGCTCAAAATACACWGATTTCCTAGTATGCTAATGGTAGRACAGCTGGTAAACCCAGGACTTATCATCTGCTGTACAGTTCTACTAAGTATTTAGCAATCCTTTACATTTTGTTTATAAATCACAACCTTTATTGTAGATTTCAGTGATATACATAGGTTTTTTTGGTACAATCATACATTGATGAACACATTATAGGCACTGATAGGTTTCTTGTCAAAGGTCATTTCAACAAGRGGAGAAATAGAAACTGAACCAGGATTTTGCAGTCCTGTGTCACATAAACTACAGCAATGCATGGATGGTTCAGTGATAAACCTTTTGCTTGCATGTAGATTTTCTTGAAGTTTTGGTAAATGTAAAAAATAAATAAATAAAAAAAATTAAATCAGCACTTGGCTTGTTTACTGTTAATATTTTAGTGTGTAAATAAAATTTAATTCTATAGTACATTTTACAGCACCCCAATAGGTGATACATGTATGAAAATATAACTCAAACCGTTGAAAGTGGGATAAAAACATTACCAGCCTCAGTCTGAAGAAATAATGTGTAATTCTGACCAAAGTGATAAACTAACAGTTTGTCAAATGTGGGTCAAGACCAAAGTTGATTGTTGCCATCCACAGCTTCACTTTCCAAAATTTTACATTGCAGTCTGTTTCATGGAGTCCAGATGAAAGTTCAACTCTGGAAGACTAATTTACCTCACCTGCTCAATCCAGCTGCTGCGGCACGAGCCCAGCCACAGCCAATCAGCATCTGACAGTCAGTGGATAAAAGCGTCCTCTCTAATCGCACCGCCCAAGTAGGGGTCTCTGCTGACGAGTGTGGATGAGTGGGCGTGTCACAACGAAAGGCGACTCTAAAGCGACACACCTGATTTGACGGACTTTTTAAAGGGACACACCTGACTGGACAAGCAAAAAAGAGGTAACACCGTACGGCACCTCCTCATTGGACAAGAACAAAATGGGCGTTACTGTACGGCACTACTTTTTCTGGAGAACCCTATTTCGGTCACATTTCTCCTGGTTAACCTTAGTGTTGGAGTCAGGGTCAGGCTGTGAAGTGATCAAGCAGGGTCTAAGGATACAGTCATGTAGGCCTCGTAGCCCACAGTGTTTATGGTTTAGACACGCCCACTCTTGTGACACGCCCACTTGATTCCACAGATAACCCCTTCTTGCACCGCCTGCTCGCCAGCTGAACGTCAACCTTCCATCTCCCCTCCTCCTGCCTTCATCTTCTGGCTTCCAAGGGCTTCCATCTCCTTTGACCTCCACCACCAGTGTCGGGCCCTGGGGTGGGTGGGGGACTCCTACCCCTTAAGCAGCTCATCTGAGCTTACATCATCTCACAGTGCTCACATCCTCTATTGGGGTCCGAGTGTCAAACTAATGTCATTCATGTCAATAAACCTGCAAGTAAGTCATGTCAATACACTTAATAATTTCAGTCTGTCTTCGTGTGAGTCTCCAGGTTGAAATATAGTTATTTACAAAGAATTTTGTGATTTGGATGTGCAAATGGCAGCATGGACCATCTGCTGTTTAAGCCAAAGTAGACATAGGAAAGAGTGGAGGATACCATGTTGAAAAGTAGCCAACTCATCAAAAAGCAAAACTGCAACTTGCGAAAATGCATTTCCACTAGCCACACAGAATACTTGAGATTTTTTTTGGCAACAAATCCCATCAGCTCTATTTTCACAGACCCAAAAATGAAACTAGAGAATGCTTGAGGAGTTTTGCCCACAAAGATTGGGCCAAAATACCTGTGGTAGGTGCAGGTATCCCAGAGTGACTTGTAGAAAATGCATGATTGCAGTGATATCTAGTACGGATACTAGCCTTATTGTCAGGACCAGTTTGACTTGTTTGTTTTAAATACCTTTGTTGAATTAATCAAAAAGAAAAATAAGTAGGTCCTCTGGACGGGTTCTTTAATGAAATGATTTGTTTTTCCTCCGACAGACTTCTTCAGTCTGGGGAGTTTCAGGTGAACTCAGCCTTATAAGCACTGCCTCCTGGTGGACAAACAGGTTGGTCACATGCAAAAGAGGACCARCAGCCAAACAATAGATTGTCAGTGCCTTGATTAGCTTTATTGTTCATAGAGGGTCCTATGGCCCATCACCTGACTATCGTTGGGGCCCCGATTCACATCCTTTGCTCACAGGGGGCTGGGTCATACTTGCAATAACAGCGTTGTAGGAGGAGGACATCTGGACACTAAGGCCTCCACCTCTGTTTAATGGTGGATGGTTTTTCTTCTCAAAGATGGCATCCTTTAATCCTCTCTCAAATCAACGTTCCTCTCTATCAAGGATGAGAACATCTTCATCCCTGAAAGAGTGACTGCTGGCCTGTAGATGAGTGTAAACTGCAGAGTCCTGACCTGACAATGTAGCTCGTCTGTGTTGGCTCATTCTTTTGAACAGTTTATGCTCTCCTACTTACAGCATTTTCACAAGTTGTAAAGTGTACTTCCACGTGTCATTTTGGAGAAATCTACAGCAYCGTATGCAACACCTCCACTGCCGACGAAGGTGCGCGCACTCCAGAGTGCGACCATAACTCAGCCTTTAGAATCATGGATGAGACCATTCCATTGGGTACGATTCAGCTTTGGGTGGACTGGACTGACACGGTCCTGATGGGTCTGCCAGCTCCCTCTGGAAAGCTCCTGTGGAACCCCAGTTCAATCGCTGCTGCTGCACGTGCACGCGTGGCGCACGCGGCTACTCGCTGCGTCGCACTCCCAGAGCGCAGCAGTGCCAAACTAAAAAATGATTTTTCCTCAAAAAGGCTTATGAGCCACTCGTCATCAGAAAATTATATCTTTTTCTAAATAAATGTTCTGCTTGTTACACTATTTATTATATCCTCTAGTAAGGCTGAATCTGTTTCTGTTAAATATATAACAGGAATATATATTGGCACAACTTTGCGCGTCCTTTATTTAATGCGTCCATGTGGATGTAATAATTGTTAATCGTGTGGATGTAAAAATTGTTAACTGTGTGTGTCTTCTGTGAACATTAATCATTATCACATCATGAACAGTTTCTCAGAATCACCTCTAAGTGTCGCCAATGGAACCAAAACCACAGAAATGTGTGTACACCAGGCCTGGAGTTGACATGGGGCTGCGKACATTTCCACGTTCAGTTGAGTTTTGATACATCCGGAGATTTGCGTGGATAATGACGTACGCGATGTTTTTGTGCGTACGCACCATTAGTACATGAGGCCCCAGGTGAGGCTGTGAAGGTAGTGAAGCTGCAGTTAGCAGCAGCTTGAAGCCATAGTCTTTTAAACATGTCCAGGAGGTCCAGGAGGAGTTTATATTATTTTTAGCCAGGTTTAGCTAAGCTCTTGACGAGCCGGGCCAGAACATGTTCGCTCGTTTGAGCTTCCGGCAGAAGCGGTGGGTCGAGTGGGTGGAGTTTAAACACAATCTCTATGGGTTTTTCTCATCAGCCGGATCACACATCGGCTGACCGGTAAYGAGCAGAGCCAGCTGCTCCAAGCTGTCTATTTTTTTCTCTCTCCCGGTTTTAATTAAATATATGCGGTCGGTAAATATTTTTTAGGCTTGTTATGGGAAACGATGGTTATTTTTGCACGCTTTGATGCGTACACTTGGAGACCTTTTTGCATTTTATCTCTGCATTTTATCCGCAGCTTCTCAGCATATTTTGTCTAGTGCTTCCTACTTTTCTCGGACTCTGCTCCGAGCAGCTCGAATGTCAATATTTATAACTTTGGTCGAAAGGGGAGGGGCTGGTCGGGCCGGCCGAGGAGTGCTGAGAGATTTCATTGGATTAGCTCGATGTCGTTCAAGAAAATCAACCAATGGGCTGTCGTGGTCGACTAAAAATTACTATAATTTATTTATTTATTTATTTTGGTTTGTTAGAGGACCTCCCGGCCCAAAATCAACACAGCCCACCGGGCAAGT